TTTATGTGCTGCAGAACAGGAACCTGCTGTAAAACAGCAATTATGATGAGTCAGGCTTGATTTTTAATAAGCTTTTCTTAAGGATCTTTTCCGTCTTCCTGACACTCTGCTGATGCTGCACACCTGTCTCCGCTCTCACAGGTAAAACCTTCCACACCTGGCTGGGCTCCATCTCCCTCCCAGCAGCCCTCCTCCTAAAGCTCTGGARTCGTTTCATCTGATAAAAACCTCATTTCTTACAGGACGCCTGGTTTTTCTGCACATGTGAACGCAGGATGTTGAAGGAGAATCTCATTTTCACCTGTGTGTGAGGGCTGCAGGTGTTTGGTGTCCACCAAGGACAATAAGGATGGTGTTCTGGTTTCTAAATGTCTGTTCCACCAGCCAGCCTCTGGCAAGGACGAGCAGTAATCCAGTCCACGCTCTATTCTTCACAACAAACTGCTGAAACTGTAGAATTAGGCCAGAACATGTGGAGCTCACACACACGCTGGTGGAAACGTTCTCCAACACCTGTGTCAGGGGGCGGAGTCAGGACGGTGGGACCAGTTTATCAGTAAAGTATTATCCAACAACGTTCGGAAGGAAGTGAGTTTTTTTAATTTAGTATTTTAGTATAAATTATTTTTCATATAATTTATTAATTTGACAGATTTCTCCCCTAAAATTATTTAAATCAAAGAGAATACAGGATCATAATTCATGAAGTCATTTAGTACTTTTTATTTTTCATACTTGATATGAATTATATTTATCACAGCACAGTTACCTCTTAGTTTAGTTTTAAATATATTAAAGGTTTGCACATCCAAACAGACAAAACACCTTATTATTKCTAAAACATTAGGATTAACTTGCAGGTATATATGATAAACTGAAACCAGCTGAATTCTAATGGGGGCTGTGGGAAACCATCAGTGCTCATGAGTCTGAGCTGGTCTGTGGACACCAACAGGGTCCAGATCCATTGGTCCTGTCTGCAGTGAGGAGGACTTGTGTTCAGGGGATTCTGATGTTATCAGTCAATGTAATGGACGTTATCAGGCGTTATCAGTCCCATACAATGGCTTCAGAGGGTCCCTACTGTACCTTCTAGGCATCAGACTGTCCTGACAGTGCCCCCAGTGGGCTAATATATCAATGACAATGAATGTGTAAATAACCAAAAGATATTGTAATAAATTTTTTTGTGTCCGTCTCTGACTCAAACACTGGTCTCCCACTTTCTGGTCCGACACCATTGCCCCATTGAGAGGCCACAACATATATCAGTTGGAGGTTAGTGCTAACACATCATCAGCTCTAAGGTCAACCTTGGTAGCTTTAAGCCTCATATTAACCAGATACTGGTTTTTTGCCTCATATTAACCAGCTGACAACTGGAAGCCATTCTATGGGACGGGAAACCTGCTGAAGCCATTGTACGGGACTGATAACGCCTAATAACGTCCATTTCATGGATGATAACATCCAAAGCGGGTGCTCGTGTTTAAGGACTGGAGCTCCTAAAAAGCGTGGCTTCAGCCTCTTTTGCTCAGTTTCTCAGCTGTAAATTATGGATGGAGCTGCAGAGTTCCTCTGAGCGCAGACATGTTTGATGTGTTGCAGCTCCGGGTCAAAGAAGACCTTCTGTGGATGTTTTCCAGCCTGTCTTTATTACATGCAGCCCTTGCATTTAGCCCGGCTCAGCCTGGGCTGAGTGTCTGACATTAGACGTTCTTCTGCAGCGGGGAGCGCAGCACGAGGAGGCGAGGCTCGTTAAAAATGGATGAATGTTGTGCGAACGCCTCTGCTGGAATATTCAGACAAGAACAGATCCGTGTTGCTTTAACTCCGGGGAGTTTCTGTTGTGCTGCTGCTTGGTGGGCTGGAAACATGGAAAACATGGTCCCAGGATGTCCGAGTCTGCAGACTGAAAGAAACATCTCCTAAAAGCTGAAACCCTTTGTTGTTTTTAAACTCGTCAGGAGTTTCATTTCAGAATAAATGAATGTTTTGATCCATCTGCAACAGAAAGTCAGATCTTTTATTTACCGAAGCCAAAGAGACACTTCATTAAAAGTTCATCAGAACTCTTTCTTCTCAGCGTAAACAGGAAGTCCTGACAAAATAAGTTCAAGAGTCTTTGAAATGAAAACAGGAAGTAAATATAGTGAGACAGAGAAGAACCTGGCTGCCATGTTGGATCAGACTCAGATCAGAAACTAAATAAACTAAATTTAAACAAATCATTTTAGAGACGCAAAAGTTTTTATATTAGTCAGACTTTTATTTTGAAGAGTTTAGATGATGTTTTAAGGTATAATAATGAAGTCATCTAATTCCAGCTTCCTGCTTCCTGATTGGCTGCTGTTGTTTACCTCTGCAGGTTGATGTAAACAACAACAAAGAAGAAGAGTTGTGGCACTAAAGAGGAGATAAAACAKCTTGAAGTTGTTCTGAAAGCCTCCAGTTGTTCAGTTGTTCACACACCTCACGTCTCCTCTGGATACCTGGCAGCGAGCGGTACCGCCGGGCCCGTTGGTCCTGGAACATCAAGAAGGCCCGGCGCCGGAGCTGCGGACCTGTCAGCCACAYCTGCCAAGAAGAAACAAACAGAGGCGGCGTGCCGCTTCACACAACCACACACTGCTGGCAAATTTAACAAACACATCACATCAGGACGTTCTTCTGAGGAACACAGGAGGAGGAGCAGGAGGAGGAGCAGGAGGAGGAGCAGGAGGAGAAAGGGATGATGGGAAGTGAACAGCTGTCTGTCAGGAAGTTCTGTTCACTTCAGACTCTCGGTTCAATAAAAACCTCCTCGAACTTCAGAACATATAGAAAATAAAAAACACCTGAAAAATGTCCTCAAACATCCCTGAAGCTCCTCCCTCTTTTTGTMCCAGAAAAAGGCGGGGCCAGGATGGCAACCAATGACTCAGCATCATCCTACAGTTTTTCTGGTCCATATTTTTTCTGCTGACTCATGAAAACTTCAGCTTAGTTTGTTTTTGTTTCATACTTCAGATTAAATCTGTTAAAATCATCCTTTCTGAAGAGAAMTCAGAGTTTTTCTTCCAGTGAATTATTCTCAGAAACACAGAYGAGTTTTATTTAAAGTTACTTTCAGATGTGTATAAATACACACGGTGGTAACCAGGGAACAAACTGAGCTCAGAGTGTCGACACGTTTTAATTATCCTGCCTCTGTGGTAAACCTGCCTGTTTTCATCAAACCTCCTGCAGCTTTAAAAACAGCTCCTTTCCTTTAATAAAACTGATGTTTGGTTTGATTTTACTGGAACACGAGGCTGATGGATGCTGGAGCAGAAAACTGATTCCAGGATGATGTTGTTGCTTCAATAAAATGTTTCAGTTTTTATTCTGCTTTAAARGGGTTTTAATCACATTAAGTCCTGCTGGGCCTTTAACTTGAAATAAAAGGTCCAGTTCTGCATTCGTCCTGTTCTAAATGAGGAACTTTTATTCTGAAGTTTTAGGAAACAGAGACGTTGTTGAGTACAGATTTGTACAAAGTGCTTTCTGTCACAGAAAGAAACATGTTTTAAAGGAAAACAAYAAGTTTTACTAACATCTCTGATGGCAGCTGCTGCTGGAGGCCCGCAGGACGGTTCTGTCTGAGCAGCGGGTCGGGTCCTCCTGCTGAGTCCGAGCTGCAGCTCCATCACAGAGAGGAGCTCACCAGAACTCTGTCAGGTTCTGACCCGCCGCCGGGGTCACCTGGTAGTGACCGCTAATCAGCTCAGTGAGATGATTCTGACTTACTGACCCGGTACCGACCCGGTTCTGTGTCCCTCTCAGCAGCAGCAGCTCCTGTCTGCAGGCGGGACATGAAAGACCTTTTTATGGTCCAGAACATGTGGTCCAGAACATGTGGTCCAGAAGCTGCAGCACAGGGATGACAGGAAAGGTCAGAGGTCGGGCTGCTGCAGGCCTCAGAGGGGCTTTAACTCGTGTGTGTGTGTGTGTGTGTGTGTGTGTGTGTGTG